ACGAACGCACGTTTCTAATGTAAACAGCGTAACGCAGCTGCAAGAGTGCATAACTTGTTATAACTAAAATATAATTGTGTACTCGTATGACGCAAACTCGACGAATACGCGTTCTCGATATACAATGCTGTCTGATGCTAAAATATGTATTGAACATCAATATGTATTAAACGGCACACACTGAAAGTCGACGTGCTCTGCTTATCCTCCGGCTATAATGTTGCTTTAAACTAATCGATATCAATGTGGACATTTACCTCGTCAAGTTCGGTATCAGTTTGACGCGTCGAAACCTTACGATTAAAGCACAAATAATATATTGTCGGCTTTAACTGACTTTTTTTTAGCATTTTTTTTTTCAATATATTGGAACTTTCCCGATGACGGCTTGCACAAACCATTCTTGTGGCTTGCATATTTAATCATCTGCCAGAAATCAAATATTTAAAATAGGCTGTACATTTGACTTGTGCTACGATAGGTGGGATTTAGCTGTCGGCGAATCGGCGATAAAAAAAGAGTTTTATTTGTAACCCTTTGATTGATTTCCAGAAGTTTAATTAATAAATGTATCACTCGGTGGGTGACGTGAATGTTCAATTGCGTGAGAATTATCCGAGGTGAATCATTTGGTCGGACGAGGAATGTTATTTACGGGAAGGAGCACAAAGCCCGGCGCGAGATCGGGGTGGAAAAGGGGGAGAAATAATAAATCGCAGCGTGTGAGCGAGCGTCGCTTGTTTCGGCGCGAGGGTCGGGCGCGAGGAAAATGGTGTACGGCGGGGAGGGCCCGTAAAATTGTCGCCGGTGCCGCGCGACTTGTCTGCTTCCTCGCGTTTTTATAGATACGCGCGCGCGCGCTCTCTCGCACGTAGAAGGCTTTCTCTCGAGACCGGCGTGCACGCGAATACATTATTCATCGGCGATAGTGTGCGCCCGGCCCGTCGGAGCGTCGGTCGATGAGCCAGGTGCGCTTCCGACAATCCGTCGTGCACTTCCGTGGCGCGAATGTCGCGATCGGTGTCGATTTTGTCAAAAATGCGCGCTCGCACAACGATTAGACTTGGAGAGCGGAATCGTGACCGTACGGCGTGGCGAACGCGTCGCCTCGACGTCCGCTGGGACGACGAGTCTGGGAATTACACTCTCGAGGGCTCCGGATATATCCCGCCGACGCGGTTCCCGCACGATAGTATTCAGTAGATAGTTCATACCAGACAATTTCGCTGCTTAATTATTCCCCGCTCTGCGTTTTGTCGCTCTCGCGATAGAATGCAAATGAACGTTTGAGCGTTTTTGCAGCGAATAATGAACAGCGGTCTACCATGCTGTTCCGTTGAATGTCCGACCATGGGATACGTACGTAATTTTATAGTCAAATCTTCGACGGCGAATCGAATCAAAGATGCAAGCTTATTTCTTCATCGGGATTTCAAAAATACCGTTTCCCAAAATATTCAGGATATTAGTGTTAATTTTAGATCCTCGAGATTGCAATAATTGGTTACAAATTTATAAGAAAAAAAAAAAGATAAATTTATAATTTTGTTTAATCTTAAAAATAATTTCGTCAGTATTAAATATATAACTTTGCTTTTGTAATATATGTTAGAAGTAATGTAATAATAGTACAAATATTTAATGTAATTCGCGTAACATTCCTAAAATCGCACGATATTAGTCCAATATTCGCACACTTTGATATTCCACATAAATCAGTTTTATTCGAAAATCAAGACTCAATCTCTCTCTCTCTCTCTCTCTCCTTCTCTCCCTCTCTTTCTCTTCTTCTACAGCACTCTCCGCCAGACCTGCATAATCAAGGCCTAATTAAGTGAACGGATCACACGAGCGCTCTTACCCTCTCGAACTAATCGTTCAAGCCGGACGAGCTGGCAAAAAGCGGGTACGGCTCACGATCGCACACGTGACTCGCAAAACCGCGTAGGTCTGGCAATGTGTATGGACGAGCTAAAAAAAAATGCATCGCTCGGCGTGCATCGAATAGCACCGTTTTGCACGATGACTGAGCATACACAGGGATCATACAAATCCAATTGAACGAGAATTGCGAAATGTCCGTTTTAATTTGTTAACTGATCAGAAAAGGTTAACTTTCGAAAATATCTTTGTAATCGGCGCGACGAGTTTACTCGTCGTCGAGTCTTACTGTCCGCAGTTATTCAGAAACTTATTAAGACGCCACATTAGTTTCCTCCGAGATGAGGACGGTGGCTCGTAACAGTTTTCTTCTTCCTTTTTTTTCTTTCTTAAGGAGTCCCCCGTTGTGTCCCGAAATTAAAGCGTCAGGTGCTGCGCGATGCCTTCATGCAGCTTAACAAGAAAGAGATTGTGTCTTTTCTTTTATTCGCGTATCATTAATCATCGTTTTTCCGCGGCGTGTTCTAATGCGAGTGTTGCGTGTCTCGTGTCGTGCCGCTATTGAATGATACTGTTGTAACGACACGATAGTATAAAATTGCGCTTCTCCAGCCACGAAAGCTAATAAAGATGTGTTAAGTAAGTAAACCTTGGCAAACGTGCTGATATTAACGCGAGCCACGATAATGGAAATTAAAAATTAAGCTTGTATAAAATGCAGCGCAAACGCATTGTATCTAATTTACGTTCCGAACCGAGAGGAACTGAATTTTCCATAACATTAATTATCCCAGAAATTAGACGCGCATTACTTAATTAAATTTTCAATGATCGCATTACCGAGATAACGTTGTAAAATGTGCCGTGACGGTTCAGTTTATCGGAAACTAATTTTCAATAATTTCCAAATGGTGAGTCTGTGAAAATATGAATACTAACACATGTTCCTGCATACGAATGCGTAAAAGTAACAAAAGTAATCATATCGTAAAAATAGTGTATTTAATTTATTAAAAAAATTGAATTTTTTAACAATATCCCTTAATTGGTTCGCTTGTATTCACAAATGCATTCACAAATTGAGTGTTTAAGAAACTACTTTTCTCAAAGATTACGAATGTGTAGAAAAACTGATAAATTTTCGCATATTTAATAAAAATGAACGCGCGCGTGCCGCGCAGCGTGATCTGACAGTAGTATTCCATGTAAATGAGACATGCTGAATTAATGGAACTTTTTTACGTTACACCGTGATATCTCAACGATCAATACCGTGACGATCAATACCGTAGTTCACGATATTATAAAAAACATCAATCTATATAGTCATAAAATATTGATTACACATCGACGCAAAAGCGTAGAAAATGGCGAGCGTCAAATATACGCATTCATAAATCGTGCGGTATTTACTGTGTAACCATATTCTCATTTGTCACGTTTGCATACTTGAAAATGCCATTTGTACCAATCATCGACGTTTTTGAAATGCAACGTATTTACATTACGTTCCGATCATTGGATAATTAATGCACTTTCGTCTGACGGTAATGCATAATTACCGAAACGCTCATATCGGCTATTCATACGTTACTTTGGAATGCACACGTTTAATTTTCACATTTGAAAACCTTGTTCTAATTATTTGTTTGATTTGTACGTGGAAAACAAATTTATTTCTGTACACCTATTTCGATGTTTATGTTTTTCCCCACCGCTTTTTTTTTCGATAACAACGATCAAGGTAACATATTGCTGCCGTATATGAGTAAACTATAAAAGTTTTTGTAGAGTGTATACACATTTTCCTTCGTGTTACGTGCATTACCTATATGTAAAAAATCAGATTTATGCGCAGGCGACGTGATACGTAAAAAATTTTATGAGACCTCATCACACTATAATCTTCTTACGCGTGATACAAAGGTTGAGTTTTCACATAAAAGAAAAAGATATGTCTGCGGAGAAAAGAATCGCGGAGGGATTGCAGGGGGCGTTGCGCGGCAAAATGTGACAAAATAGCATTCTACGATTCATAATTATATGACAGATATATATTTGCGTAATTATACGTCTAACTATCCGTGTCCAATCGCGCTGCAAACTGTCCGAATGAATCAGAACGTATTTACGTATCATTTAATTAATGGCCTGTGAATAAATGATACGATTGTGCGAACGTGCGCGCTCGAAAATTCACTGCAATACGCACGCTTCTGCGCAGAGGGCAATGCACGATTCTTCCCGGCAGATGCAACGGGCTGCCGGAATCGTCTTGTACAAATAATCATGGCGGTCCTTCCCTCGGCTCGGCCGTCGGTGAACCGCACCGCCGTAAACTCCCGTATTCACGAGAAGAGCCAGACCGAAATTAAGAGGCATAGCCGCCGTTTCCCAGCTGGAGCCCACTCCAATCTAAATATTTAACTCGAGTCTCCCTCGAAAACAATCAGGCATTGTTTATCGCTGTTAAACGAATCCTTGCCGTCGTGGCATATCAGCGATAAAGAATCCCAACGTTTCTCTGCTCGGCGAAGCAAATCGTTACGCTTTATGCTCTCCTTTGTCAATTTTTAGAATATGCTGAGATTTCTCTTGATTTTCATTTATAATATACGCAGTGATACTGCGTGTAAGAAATTCACTACAAAAATTAATTAATTACACTTTTTTTTAAATGTTATATTTAGATAGACACTGCAGCGCGATATTATTTTATAAGAACATGTAGTGATCTATCGAGAAAAAAACTTTACTATTGTAAAAAATTGCTTGTTCTCGAAAACTCGTTGTGAGATTATCGATGATGTACAGCGGATTCTAGCGAGGGAAATTAATAAAATTCCGTATTATACTTAAAAGCCGGAGCAGTACGGCGTCTCCTTGTTAAAAAGTCTCACGAATCTGGTACTTTTGTGTCGTAGGTATTCTCGAGGATTCAATACCGCGCGTTCGAGTATGTCCATCGATAGACCGAAACTTTACAAGGATCTCAATGGGTCGGAAGCGACTAACAGATAGTACGGGGTTGACATCCCGACTTGCCTTGGGTCGGCCGAGAGAGTGACCCCCTGACTTCCGCTGGAACAGACCTACTCCAGCGCACGGACACAATTTACCTTGTGCTTGAACGGCTGAAGCAGATAATGGCTTTGTTGCTCTACGGATCGATCGGTCGAACCTGTCTCCAGCCTTCGCGTGGCCTCTTCGTCTCCCTTCCTCGGCGCTCGTAATTCCTTCCAGTAAGAGCGGTAAGTCACCTGAAATACACGACGCGATCAGTAGGTTCCGTTTTACAGGCTCTCTATCGTCGTTTTGATCCATATCGAACTGACAAGAAAATAACCAGTTTTTACACAATTAATCCGCGCGAAATCGATTTTATCCTGGAATTTTATTTAATCCGTAAAAATAGTACGCTAAGAAAAAGTATGACGTTATATTTTCTCAGGATTATTTTCTTGCCAGATGAAAACAAATAACTGATTAAAAATTGAACATGCATATGCATAAATAAGAAGTAATTACGAATAACAATGTATATACACATACTAGAATTTCCGAACATATATAAAATATAATTTTGCACTTTTATTCATGTGCACAAGCGGCATATACATACACTAAGTTAAAAAACAAACAATTACATATTGCGATCTCTCGAAATCATAATTTAATCCATTGTTTTATTATACACGATGCATAAGTATTAAACGACATATGTTTAATCAAGAATTTGCACGTTGCAAAATGCAACGCTATTGGCAAAAGCTTCGTGGCGTGTTACTGTTGTAAAAATATTTCCCTCGAGTTTAGTAATTTCTACTAACACACGCGATAAGTCAGCGGAAAAGCGTGGGATGCCGGTGTTAGTGCGCTTTGGGGGATTTTTGTTGGGTCGTTAGTACAACTCTTGAAATAAAACCGTCGCGTATGCAGAAGTGTATTAACTTCTGGGCTAGTCGCGGTTCGTTCATGTTCTCGATAAAACCTCGACGGTTTGAAGTATAAACAAATATCGTCGTTTTTCCGAAATATTAATTTGCAGACAGCGGCGGAATGCCTCTGTCGCATTCGACGCATAAAGTCTTTCCCGGACGGTAATTTCTGCATAGCGGGCTGGATAAGTCATCTTAAGCGAGTGAAAAGCAAGCTTGTTTCGATTGCGCTCCCGTGTACCTCTGATGCTCGCCTCTTTGACGCAATCTTGTATTAAAACTGCCATTTGCATTGCAACTACTACGTTTGCGCTCCGCTTGGCACACCGACATTATTTGGACGACCTAGCTACGCGGCGCGCGCGAGCGACATCAAAAAGTTAGGAAATTGAACTACAGTTATAAATCTGTACAATGAGCGCTTCGGAAACACATAAAAGTATTTTCGTAAAAACGTAAAAAGTTTTCAGGAGTTTATTTAAAAAAAAAAAAGTGCATCTCTCGAGCGTTTCTTATTTCTCCCTCGAGCAAACGATATTCGCTTTGAGTCTAGCTCCATTTATTTGCTTCGAGAACATTTTATCTAGCTGGGGATGCAACTCTCTCGTAATGAAACTTGCGGAAGTATCGAAGTGCGTTAACTTGGTGCAAATTCAGGGGTGTAAATTCAGCGATAAATACATGAGATATTAAAAGGTATTTAAAGCAAAATGAAGAAGGATGTAACGGTCGCCGTAATGAGCTTCATTACGTAATTACCTCATTTGCATAAAAAAAATGTACGATTTTTCTGATAATAATTTTTCTCAATTAATCATTAAAAAAAATTGCAATGCTTTAATAACGGTAAAGTGATGCCTTCGGCGCTCTGCGAGAGATTTCAATTTTATTCGCGCGAACACGAATGTTACATGACATTCGATGCTTTCAAGGAATCCACCTCGGGCGCATAAAATAGTGATAAAGGGAATATCTCGCGAAACATGTGGGCGGTTCCCGTCTGGCCGCTCTCGTCGACGCTCCCACTAAATGGCATTATATTAGCAGAAAGCAGGCTGCAGTCGAATATTCCCCGTACGTCCGGGAGACCGCGCCGGGCACTTGTTATTCCGCGGGCGCACACACGCACATGTATCTGCTCTCGCCGAAGATCGGGCGGAGGAGAGACGAGGGGCGAAGGACGTCGGCTGTCTTGCCGGCAAGTACAGGTCTGCGAGTGCGGTGGAAGAGCCGCGGACTGAAACCCCAAGTTCCATACGTGGTACGCGCAGGGAAAACCCTCCAACCGCCCAGCGCCCCGGCTTAGTTCCAAAGTGGCGGTTTCATACGCGCTATATCCCTCGATATGAGCAGTTCCCGAGTGCCTTGCTCGGGGGGCCGAAGGTGTCGGATAAAGGGAGATAGACGGTAAGAAGGTAGACCGCGGCGACGCTCGAGCGGGAGGTAGACGTTGCCGCAGCGTAAGGTCGGAGGCCGGAGAGGCCGAGGGAGAAAGAGACAGAGTGCGAGAAAGAGACAAAGGGCGAGATGAGGGAGAGAGATAGGGCGGCGGCGGCGGCGGCGCGGGAAGGCAAGGTAGGATGGGTCTAATGTCTTACGGTCGGGTCTCATTGAAATGCGAACCTGCACCGCCGTGGAGGAATGTGCGAGTATCTACCTACTTGGATTAGAATACATATCCTATCTCTCGTGTCATCCACGTCGCGCGACTCCTCCTCGTAGCCGGCGCCACGTCTTTCCCGGAGGTAGGCTAATTAATTAGCCTATCGCGCCGTGCACGCGAGCCACCCCCGCTGGGTCCTCCCCTCCCTCGCCCGCGGCGCACCGTGAGAGGACAAAGGGACAAAGGGGACTCCGGGGACGCCTTTGATTTTGCGATCTGTCGCGATTATGGCGTAATCGGGTATTCGGGACTTTTTGGACGATCGATACGACAGCGCGACGCGACCGTGCCGGCGATGAATAGTTTCGGCGATAACGCGGGAAATGTATTTAGAGTATCTAGAGAAAAACCAGATATATGGAGCGTAATTTTTCACAACGTGATTTTATCGTGGAAATTTTTGAATATGCTTAAGCGCCAATTTTACAACAAAAGCTCTGATATGTGTTTTCACAAAAACACGATCCGCGATTGAAATGTTTACATCGATATATTTCCGGTTGAAAATCTCGATATAGCTGATTTTTAAAATTGCATTCTGATTAATTTCTCGCATCTCTCGGAGATTTTTTACGTTCACTAGTCCCGCTTTGGGAGAATAATACGGGCAGCATAATTCGTTGGAAAAATCCGTAATAACACGGAACTGAATGCGACATAACGCGATGGATATAAAGTGAGAAATATAAAAAAGTCATTTGCATTATTTTATCCACAATGTGCGCAATGTAACTGTTTCGTTTATGATACGTGGAAGTGACAGCGATATTGCTCTTCTTTCCAGTGTAGCAAATAATAGCGTGTAACTTAATGATATGAGCGGAGTATCAATTTCATCCATAACACGATGTATTTATAACAGTCGTATTATTTTATATCTATTTTGATTATCGTCGCACTATATTCGCTGTCGGACAACTCGCTGTTCTACATTTTCTCGGTGCGCGCGTGATGTTGAATATGAAATTAATTTTCATCCCGCACATTTTGTCCCTTTTATGTAATATAATTATCATATTAGACAAACAGAATGGAGAAGTCGCATTTGGCGCAAAATGCATGATGAAAATATATCGAATCAATGATAATCGATAATTGTCGGATAGACGTAATTTCATTTCACCTGTGTAACAATATTTCTCCGCGCCATATTGACTTAATGGCGCATCGTAATAAACAGACATTATCACATTGTAAACGGCGGCAATTGTAGTTAAATCGATGTTAATAGATCCAGTTCTCACCGTAATCATAAGCATTATGATATTATCGCAATAATCGCACGGCGATCGGGACGAGATCGATCGGCCAGCGCGCTGGAACTTGCGAGACGACAGCTTGAAATCATAAATTCCATCCGTACGTATATCGAGCTATCGTACTTTAAACTGCCTATCGTCTCTAAAATAACATCGCCGCCATCGATTATCATGGAACGTAATGGGGTAGGTCAGCCCGATTCACGATAAGTGGAATCGACCTAGTAGTTAAAAGGGTCGAAGAGGGTAATTCTGTTCGATCGCGAAGCAAGAGTACAAAGTTTCGTGATTGTTCGGGTATTTAACTCACCTTACCGTGTTCGGAATATCAGTAGAACGCGTCGCAGTTAATATCGCCGTTCTCCGTCGACACGCGCCGAAAAAAATGCGTCATTACCGCCGCCCTTAATAAACGTACGCACTCATTAGTCTCGCGGTAAGTAATATGTTCACAAAACGGAAGCACGCACGCGGACAAACATTACGCAAATTAGAAACTACACTTTCCACCCGGGAGAAATCTCCATGAAGACGGTTTTTTGCGCGTCGCGCGTATGTGTGTATTTACCAATGCGATCGATATAAACTTCACACGTTGGCAAATACACCGAACACGCTCGTCCATTAAAATTACAACGCTCCGCGTCGTTCGCGTACATCGTTCGGAGTAACCGTAAAAAAATTACCGTACAGCTATTAACTTACCGACCCATTGGCGTTCCAGCCTCAATTCAGACCCTAGGATTGCGCCATAAAGATACATACGCCCGACCTTAACACATGCTCCACCGCGATTCCCTCGAATTCATCGATTTTCCCCCCCATTTATCGCGGTTATAAAATACCTACTCATTTGGTACCCTCGTTTGGTACTTTTAACAGTGAAATTGAAACACCGCGATGCGCGTTTTTATGACAAATCGAGTATGGGAATATGTACGTCCCGTCGCGTTATGCGCTCCCTTCGCGCTCCCTTTATAGATTTAGCGAATAACCGCGTGTATCGCGTTATTACGATCCGCGAGCGGCGTACAACCACGTACAACGTGCCACGTCGTAAAAAAGGTGCCGTACAACTTGGGCGTACGCAGCTCGAGAGTTGTGTCGATTCTACGATCCTCGAATTAATGACATCGCGCGCCAGCGGGTTGTCAAAGACGCGACGGCCAGGCGTCACGTAGGCGTATACGAGCACGCGTGATAACACACAGATTTAAGGGAGACATCGTCTTACATGGAAACAGCTCTGGGAACTTGTAGCCGCGATCCTCGGTTACGATTTCTCATCACGTACCCGGTAAGTGAAAAGCGCATCCAACTTTCGAGTGTATGGGACGGACAAATACCGGAGCGGGTTTTACGGAATATTCTCATCCGCGCGCGCATTTTCGTCTCCCCCG